CATTTTAAGCATACTTTCTAATAGCCTTTAATTGGTAGCTTGCGCAGTTCCTGAGAGTTATACTGAATGCTTGTAAGCCAAACCCTCTTGGTAACTGCTGATGATGCCAATTAGGCAAAGGTAGTTGAGGACAGTCAGGTGAAGGAGAACAAAAACTTATGGTTGCTTAAATATTTTCCAGCAATTTGGCTTCAGTGAATGCATGTTCTCAGCTGAATACCTAAGTTAAAAATAATCTGGTACCATCTTAATTATTTTTGCTTAGTGCAAAATATTAGTATTTGAAAAACATCTATATATCTTTCCTAGAATATAGGACTTAGAAAAGACATTGGAGATCACCTAGTCCAATCCTCTGCTCCAGGTAGGAATCTATTACTATAGCAGCTGCTTCTGTATGAGCACTTGGAGCTGCCAAAAGACACCCAAATCCTTTTCACATGCGCTGCTGCCCAATATGGTCTCCTCCATCCTGTATTCTTCATTTTTTTTCTACTCAAATGAGTACTTCACATTTACTTCTACTGCAATTTGTCTTGCCCATTGTTCCAGCTTGTCAAAACTCTCTTAAATCTTGTCTTTTAAGGTGTTCTGACAGCCAAAAAATATATCTTGAATTTTTTATGAATTTTAGTCAGTGTTCTTTTTTATTTGGCAAGCTAAAGTTAGATAGAAGGAGGAAAATCATATCAGTATAGGATTTTCATTGACCAATGGGATGTTTTTCATGGACATTTAGCATATGAAAGTTAAAACAATGTACACTGAACTTTGAAGTCAGGAGCATAGTATAAATATTCAGTAACAAATCTGGTTCCCTGAATCCATAAATATTTTGTGCTTGATCAGTTTTTTTGTGGTTTTGTTTGTGAGCTCTTTGCTGGATAATTTGGCAGCTGCTATGCTCCTGTTTCCTCATCCCGGCTACTTCTGTCTTAAAAGGGGTGCAGGACGAATATTTTATAAACATTATTGTGATGAAACCCTTGAACATAAATGAA